TGGCAGGCACAGCACTTTGTGAACCTCCATGTGCAGATTTCGTGGCAGGCACAGCACTTTGTGAACCTCCATGTGCAGATTTCAAGTTACATTAGTGGCAACTGAGGTTGGATTAATGCCATCTGGGGCTGAAAGCTCCACTACCAACCATGCCACAGGAACCGTGTCACCATGCATGGCCACAGTGAAAACAGCAAAGCAGCTCTCAATGTTTGCAAAAATTGGCTCAAGAGAAAGCAGCTCTCAACGTTTGCAAAGCACTTTCTGGAAAGCACTTTTTTGGAAGATGCTCCGGTTTCTTTCTGTATAAGAGTATGCCGACCACCACCAAAAACTCCACTGTTTGGAAACCTAACATGAAAACTGCTTTGTGCCATCGTCACCTTTGAGCGCCTGCCTGCCTATCTTTATGGCTTCATGTGTACATATGTGTACATACCGTTGTCTTCAGTTTGTAACATTTCCAGGATATATACAAAAAAGAGGAGCACATGACAATCACAGACAGAGGTAGGTAGAATAGAATAAGTGGAATAGGTAGGCTAGAATATATATATATATAGGTCGAATAGTAGAACCGCCCACCGCATCCCCCCTGGCAATGGCTGTGAAGGCCAGTCACCACCTTAGAGCCGTTGGCGAGCTTGGGCGCATGCCATCTCTTGTTGGAGGCCATCTGTAGGTTGGAGGCCATTTGTAGGTTGGAGGCCATCGATAGATTGGAGGCCAATAGATTGGAGGCCATCAATAAGTTGGTGGCCATCGACAGGTTGGAGGCCATTGATGTAGGCTGGAGGCCATTGCTATTGGACACTGCTATTTAGGTTGGAGGCCATCGCTAGTAGGTTGGTGGCCATGCCTCTTAAAGTTGAGGCCATCGATAGCAGAGGCCATCAAAGTTGAGTGTGGAGGCCATGGCTTCTAGGTTGGAGGCCATTGCTTCACAAAGCTTAGGCCATGGCATGCCTGCTTCCTTCCTTCTGTGAAGGTGCGGCCTCAGACCGGGGGTGAAGCAGGCAGGGTGCCAGGCAACCCAAAACCCATGGTTCCCGATTCACAGGTAACCCCAACTCAGGCATCTTTTCAAACAAGCATAAGCCAATCCCCTTGGCAAAGCTTCCCAAACTAACTCGCAGTGCCAGAATCCATTTCGTTGAACACAACATGAGATCCGCCCAAACAAGACAACATTTTAACACATTGTTCAAACACATACACATCAATCACTTCTGGACGCCAGCACGGCTGGCTAAATAATTGGCACGGGTGTCGCTTTCCATC